CTTTCGGGCTGCGCTTCAAGTCGGCTCTAATAATTAGCAGATTAGAGGAAATTAGCACGGCAACATCGACGCCGGAGGCTTGTTGTAAGGGTATTATGCCGAGCACAGTGCGCGGCTACAATACTCGAAACTCGGCTAAGGGAGACTAAGACTGCACTGCAAGGATGATAGAAGCAGATTAAGAAGTCCGTCTGAATCGATATCGGTCGCTTGAATACATCCCTGGTTCTCCTACCCGGATTTTGAACATACGAGGGCGGCCCGATAAGTACTCAGCCTACAAAAAAAAATTATCAAATACGGCGCTTTATTTCTCAACACAGTCTCCTCTTAACTCAGTACATTCAACCTAGCGATGCTCCAACTTTATTAACCCGTCTGAAAAATACGTTCTCCTCATTCGACTCAAACTTCTGCCTGGCGAATGACTTTTTCAAGTTTGTAAACAGAAGTTGCACCTGGATAAATCTGGAGAAAACGCTGGATGGGGCAGCAGGTCGTAGCCTAATTTTACCAATTTGGTCGTGGCGACGGCGGAGGTATGAGATAATAATGATAATAATAATAATAGATAAACGTGGAAGTGTCAGTTGGTTGAGAAGCTCTACGCTGAAAGCGGAAACGGAAGCTCTGATAGTATCTGCACAAGATCAAGCATTAAATACAAGGTACCACCAAAAGTATATAAGGTACCTGCGGGTAATAAGGCCTGGCGGGTAATAAGGCCTAATAACAAAAATAATGCTTTCAAGTTGTTTTACAGGCACACTACTGGTTAACAATTGCTCTTTAGATGACCTTGGATTGAACAACGACCACGCCAAATTAATTTCCACATGGTCGTCGTCAGTGCAATAACATATCTCGTCAAGTGAGTGTGCCGTGCTAGAGATATTGAGTCAAGAAATAGAAGATAAACTAAATCGCAATAACTAACTTTGGACATTACCAAAGATTCACACAATTTTTTTTTAACTGTAAAGTCAGGAAATTTACCCCCCTACTGAGCGAGGGCCGTGGCAAATGAACGTATCCAGTATACAACTTCTTCCCGTCCAAGTGATCGTACACGCGTTAAGGAATACCTCAGTACCGATTGCCGGGTGGCGGTACAAGTCCGCCAACGGGCCACTTTAGGTCTATTTAATATCACTAACACGTAAAAAGAAGGTGGTAGACAAGGACCAGTCGACCGAGGCAGTACCACCCGCTAGCTTTTTCCAGAGTGTCTTATAAATGTCTGCATGTTTCCACACCTAACCTATGCAGTCCCCGCACCCCCATTTCTGATTATTTCTTCTTCTACTGTTGTTTGTATTGTACTTCATTTTGTCTATATGTTAATCTGTATCCATCGACACAATGTAAATCTAACTGGATCAATAAAATAATCTGAATCTGAATCTGTACATGTCATATAACATCCAAAAAACATACCTCGTAAAACCGATCTGAACTACCTGTCTTTTTTGGGCTTGGAATACCACCACAGGTAACTGTTGCTGGCTTCCGTGGCGACATTAGTTGATACCTCGGAAGTACGAGACACTCTGTCCGAAGCCACAAATGTGTCTGTTGGCTCATGTTGGTGGCTTCTAGTGAATTTTCTTTTCCATCCTCGTTTTCCTTCAGGTTACACCCCTATCCAGATGTAATGGGTATATGCTTTTACATCGGTATTTTCGATGCACATCTTCTTGGGCCTGATGAAGCCAGTAACCATAAACGTACGTCGCTCGAGTTATCAATCGTTCAATTTCTTCTCCTGCTCCTTTATTGTGGACATGCCCACGATTGTATTTTTTTTTTTCGATTAAGTACCTATATAAAAACGAGGCCACGCAATCCAAATCGTGGTCGCTTGCCGACATATAAAAAAAGACCGCCAAGTTGTAAAACGGTCGTTCAACATATCTACGTAACCAGTAAACCGATTTCAATTTTTAAAGCTCAGTTTACTACTTTTACTATTCACGCATGCTGGCTTCGTAGTTATATGACATGCAAGTCACGAAAAAACATGTGACTCGTTTCTGTCTGTCCGCTAATTTTTGGCCCATCTACAGGGTGTAAACGTTATGGTAGTCATTATTGAAATGGGTAATAGGGAGGTCAAAACAAGTCAAAAAGTGTATATGAGCCATGGTCCAAAAGTCAAGATTTTTGTATAAATGACTTTATAGTTTTCGACCCTAAGTGCTTTTTATAATCTAATCTAAAGTGATTTAAATTAGGTAATTAACAAAAAAAAGGCATTAATTTTTTCTACGTAAGCCAAGATTTGTAGTCAGTAAGTAAGTAAGTTTCATTAAACTGAATATTTAAAACACACATGACAACAGTGCGTCGGTCATCATCAGTCTTATCGAACCGGCTATCGATCGCAAACGGTAACAGTGGTTAGTATGTTGTTTTGTTTTTGTTCGCGTACGTCGTCGTCTTGATTTACAATGTTCTCGAATCAAGAGTTCGGCGACATGTTTTTACTTAATGGTGAAACTCGTTAGAATTCAAATCTTGCAGCTCAAATTTATCGCGACAGATTTCGCCAAGGGGTACACCTAGACAAAAGGACATTTGTGCAAGTGTACCAAAAGAGAGAGAGAGAGAGAGAGAGAGAGAGAGAGAGAGAGAGAGAGAGAGAGAGAGAGAGAGAGAGAGAGAGAGAGAGAGACCAATATCGGCAGTTATGACGATTTACTATGCCATTTAAGAAAAAGGAACATTCGTCGGAAAAGCAAGTGTTGAATAGAAAATGTTCATCGTTTATAATTCGTTCACTCATATCTTCACAAAATTGAAATCGCCGATCAAAATCGTCTTCATTAAGTTCTTGTACCAGGTAAATTTTATACGGATGAAAACTATGAGCCACAGTCTCCAATTTGCGGGTACTTAGCGTAGGATCTACATAAACTTGCCCTAAAACCCCCACTTCTATTGCTTCGTTCCTTTTATGGGATTTTCAATGTTGCGTTTTTTATTGGCGACTGACCCAGTTTCCCGAAATTTAGCTACGAGTTCTAGAACATATTTCCGATGCACGTTACTGATCTCATGTCGCTCATTAAATATTTCTGCTGTTCTGTTAGCACACTGGTGATTTCCGAAAAATATTTCGAAAATTTCAACTCTTTCTGCTGTGGAATATACCATGGTTAATTTATGTAATAAAGCGTTACAATTGATTTTAGCAATAAAGTTTGGTCAAATCAATCGCAAACTATGTACTAAATTCCTATTTAAACTAAGTACGAAATATTTCCTTATCTTTCTTCAAGAAATAACTTTTTTGCCACAAAAAAAAAACGCTCCAATAGCTATTTTCAACAACAAAATGATAAACAAACCATGGGCGTAGTAAAGAAAAGCATTTACTTATTAAGTAAATTTTTTTAGTCAAATTTCTTCTGAAAGTGGTACAAACTAATCTAGAGAGAGAGAGAGAGAGAGAGAGAGAGAGAGAGAGAGAGAGAGAGAGACAGAGAGAGAGAGAGAGAGAGAGAGAGAGAGAGAGAGAGAGAGAGAGAGAGAGAGAGAGAGAGAGAGAGAGGGAGAGGGTATATGTCAATTCTTTGGTGCTAGCAAATTATTGAGGGTTAGGGGTGAAGGAGGGTATAACTCAATCTTTTGACGTCGGTCAAAGTAAATTAATTTAGCTAGGCTATTGATTCAGGGTTAATAAATACTTTGCTCTATATGACCTCCTCACTCTTTACAAGGCCCAGATAGGACCTAGCCCCGACCACTGCTCACACGTTTGGGGTGCTGCCGCCCCGATTACATTATACTTGCTGGATGATTCTTCACTAGCGAACAGACTCGGAACACTTTCACACCAGCAGGCCGTTGGCGATCTAACTCTCTTTTACCCTAGGCCACTCGACTTTGCTCCCAAGAGCTCTGCTCCATGTTGTTGCCGCGCGATGTGCCCGCCAGACAGACCCGCCTGACGTCGGCGTCCCATACTAACCGTGTCGAACTTCGTACATGCAGAACTGGCCGATATGACTGGTCTTTTGCCTCTAGGGCATTGATTCCCAAAGTGGTCTATATCGACCCCTAGGGGTCTATGACAACCTGCAAGGGGTCTACGTCAGCGAAAAAAAAATTGGGGGTCCATGAAATGAATATGGGGGTCCACGATAGTGGATCTCAACACATACACTGATAGTACCTATTTACATACATCATACTATCTTATAATATCAAAACATATACCTGATTTATAAAAGTACCTTTGAAGTAAAAAATTTATTATATATCTTTATAAAATTGTATAAGTTGTAGGATGTTGGTATTCGCTTTGTGGTCGCAATACATTTTGAACTTGTAAAAACCTGAGAGTCGCAGTCTCAGAGCTTCGCTACCTTGCACTGACAATTCGTCACTCTATAAATACGAATGTGGGACAAATACTTTTATTCATTTCCTGAATCTTGAAAAGGAAAGTGCTAAGAAAATATTTTAAAAAATATAAACAGATAGTATATCACACAAATTATAGTGAGCCAGTGTTATTTTGTTTGAGAGTGCTGGAGAAAAGTAAGTACATTATTTTTTTTAAAACTTATTTTTGTACTCGTAGTTAGCAAAGATAGATAAATTACGCCAATCACGACTTTAGTTATTAGTAGTTAAATATTCAATCATGCAAAATTACACGAGTACTCCTCAATAGTTTCTTTTTGAAAGTTTCAGCAATCAGTAATATAATTACAGTGCAATCTCCGTAATTCGAGCTAATTGTTGCAAGAAGATGTTCGAATTATGGAATGTTTTCGGAAAAATCAAAAAATATTTTTAATATACAGCTGCTGGATTTTCTGTCTTATTTAAATAATTTAATTTTGTCCACAGATGACTGATGCCATGTCCGAATCTAAAAAGAAATGTTGACAGTACAGTGTTGATTATTTGAAATTTGGCTTCATTCCATCATTGCCGGCAAACAATCACCTATGTGCCTTTTATGCAACAAAGTTTTGGGCAATGACGCTATGAAACCATCTAAACTGCAAGATCATCTGAGAAGATGCGACCCTGATAAAACAGAGAATGATTTGAAATACTTTCAAACATTCAAAGATAAATTTCAGAAGAGACCTACACTGGCCAGAATGTTCGCTTCGACGTCACAAAGAAATGATGATGGTTTGCGGGCGTCTTACAATATCTCGTTACTTATAGGAAAATCCGAAAAAACCGCATACTATCGGAGAGAAGTTAATTTTGCCAGCCGTTGAAGAGGTTTTAAAAACTTTTTTACACAAACTTGCATCTGATATCATTAAAAGAATTCCCTTAAGCAACAATACTGCTGAAAGACGTATTGATGAAATGAGTTCTGATATTGAAAGCTTCTTATGTAATTATTTGCAAACGACCCATTTCTCTATACAACTGGACGAGTCTACTTCACCTGATAATGCAGCATTATTATTGGCATATGTTCGTTTTATTATGAACCAAGAAATCTACGAAGAACTGCTCTTGGCAAGAACTTTGATAACCGACACTAAAGGTGAATCAATAATTCATGTTTTGAAGGATTACTTCATTGAAAAAGCAATTCCTTTATCAAATATAATATAAGTAGCTACAGATGGAGCACCTGCCATGGTTGGACGTTATCGTAGATTTATAAGCTATTTAAAACAAAATGTGTCAGGGGTGTTAGCAATACATTGCGTCATCCATCGACAACATTTAGTTGCTAAAAATTTGAGTGTTAGATTGCATGAATCACTTCATTTAGTCATTGATGTAGTAAACCGAATCCGAAGCAACGCGTTGAATACGCGGTTATTTGCGCAGTTGTGTGAAGAAAATGACGGACACTTTCATCAATTACTCCTTCACACTGAAGTACGCTGGCTGTCGAAAGGCTTATGTTTGACAAGATTTTTTGCACTTTTTGAGACTATTTTAGAATTTCTGGATACTAAAGATAAAATTTTAAAAGAAAATTTAATGAAGAGGAAAACAGACATCGCCTATTTAACAGATTTGTTTACAAAATTTAATATGGTTAATTTGCAACTACAAGGCGACAGTTTAAATTTGATTAAAACAGTCCATCTTATCAGTGTTTCTTGCCAGAGTTAAACTAATGAAGCAAAATATTGGACGGGGCGAATTTTCTCAGTTCCCCAATTTGTCACAGACAAGCTGCCAGGAAGACGACGTTTCAACTTACGTTCAACATTTAAATGCCCTCTATTCAGATTTTAAATCTAGGTTTCAGGATATTTTGACTATGGTAATACCACCGTGGATAATTAATCCATATGGTGACATAGAAGAAACGAATGTCATAATACAAGAAGAACTGACTGAACTAAGTACAAACGAAGAACTTAAGGTTCAGTTTAAAAACGGATATCAGCAATTCTGGCTGCAAAATAACATACCCTTTACTTATCCCGTATTATGGAATATAGCGCGGAAATTTCCATCGTCATACCTAGTGGAAAGGGGGTTCAGCGCTGTTACCAATCTCCTAACGAAAAAAAGAAACAGACTGGACATCATTAGCCGAGGAGATTTAAGATTAACCCTTACAAAATTGACGCCAAATGTTGATAATTTATTATAAAAGCATCAGGTTCATTCTTCTCACTAAAAATATTGACTTATTGCTTATGTTGTTTTATTTATACCTAGTTTATTTTATGTTTATTGGTGTCTGACCAATAAATGCCCGCATTGGGAATAAGTGCCCGCATTGATTTTTTTAAAGAACTTTATAGAAAATATTTTTTTTAAATTATTCTGAAAATTCAAGGATAGGTACACACTAAAATTTGTTAATTTTTTACCTATTTTTAGATAACCTAAACGTATAAGAAGCGGAATTTAATCAAACTAACAGTGAAATTATTGTAGAACATACGTTTATGTTATAGTTAATAAACGAACTCGCTTATTGTACTATCTTAAGTAAAAGACTTTTTTTTTATTATTTTTCACTTATTGTATCGCTCTTATTTTTTTTTCAATGCGGGCACTTATTCCCAGTGCGGGCACTTATTGGTCAGACACCTGTTTATTTAATGTTACGTATATTTTACATAACAGATATAAAATTTTATTTTGAGTAGTTTTAGTTTAAATTCAATTAATAAATGTATAAATTAACCTGTGTTTTTACTTTAAGTTTTTAACACTAAACTTCACTACAGTTAGAAATTTACAGGAAATCAATATCAGGTAAGTAGGGGGTCTACCCAACACGGAAAAACATGGCAAGGGGTCTACGACACAAAAAAGTTTGGGGAACTCTGCTCTAGGGTATCAACATCGTGGATCAATCTACATGAGCAGGATTTACCCAGTTCTACTAACCTTAGACAGTTCAAAAATCGGATAAACAAAGTTTCTTCAACTCTTCATAGCAACCGCGGTGCCCTGGCATTTGAGCTTCTTCCTGCGCAGCTGCTTGGACGTAAAAGAAAAAAGGCTTCAAACCCCCTATATCCTTATAAGGTCTGTATCTCAATTAATTTGGCTTATTGACTGTCCGATGTGGACTGTAAATAATGACTGAATATTCGGTATGTCCACCGGTCGCTTGAAACTGTCCATCAATCGATTCATAATTACAATTCCAGCAAAGGATGTGTACAAAAAGCGAACTACAGTGGAATCGATAATTTTTTACATATGTGCACCAGTGCGGTAGCTCAGTTCGAGGAATAGTCGAATGATATGTTTTTGAACATGCCGTTCACATCATTCAGGTCAAACATGTGTTCTGTCATTGATTAACGTATTCTAACTAAAGGTAACCAATATGAGGCTATTTATCCGTGTCCACAAAATTATCTGAATTAAAATAAGATACCATAGCGTCATTAGAATTTGTCACAGCTGTTACTCTGCCTAGAGGATAAAGAGTATCCCAATATTCCGTGGACATAGAAGTACCACGTATTTCTAGACTCAAAATAAGTCGATTGGACATGATTTACTTCAATGCAAAAGTGCTTCGTTTGTCCGTTAGAGCGCTACAAATTTTTCTTTTTATAACACATTTATCAAGATATTTTAGTAACCGATAGTCCGATTTTTCGCAACTCTCCCAACGACCTTGATTTTGCTTAATTAGAAAATTCCTTTTCTTTACTTTTACTACAAAAATTTTTTCGGAGCTGGTTTCAAAAAAACTTTCTTATTACTTGAAGTGTTAAAATCTAGTAAGCATCTAGTTGGCGGAAATTTAGGATGTTATGTCAGAGTCAGATAATTTTTGACAACAATATTGATAAAGTTTAAATTACTCAGGTTGGATTTCAACAGCATTGTTAAATCGACAGTCCGTTATTATCCACCTATAGGGTAACAGTCCGTCAAATATGTGCGAATGAGCTTCAAGTTCCAATCAACAAATTTTAGCAACCAATAACTATGAAATGTTGAAAATAAAATATTCTCAAAGTATAAGATGACAGCTTGTCATTGAAACATCACCAGCTTATTGAATATTAAGAAATTACATATATCTTAGTCAAAATTAAATAAATGTTCGATTTTTGAATGAAATTCGGGTTTTTATTTAATATTGTCGATTGTTTATTCATGTTTATATTATTTTCTTCAATTGGTATGCGATTTTACTGACTCAACATCACCCAGCGTGTGTTATTTTCTTTCAAACCTTGCAGATAGCCATTAAACACCTACTTGATGACAGGCTCTAACAAGAATTTCATAAATATTGCTCGTTTCCAAACATTCATTCATTTACTTGCCGTTCATCAGTAACATTATAGCACCGTCTATGGATATTCCCACAAAACCGTTCAGGATTTTTGATATCCATACATCCATAGTCCAATTTTTTTTTTGGGCTCAGGAACTGAACAAACATCCACACTATATTTACAGCGATCAAGAAATACTCGAATATACGAGTATATCGTAAAGCTTCCGGCAAACTTAAAACCTGCAAAAAAAATAGAACTTGCAATAACCCTCTTGTTTCACTGAGTCATATTCTAGGTTATATTTATATTAGACATTATTTGAGGAACAGCTGATTATTATATTTCAAAACTCCCCAACGAGTGACACCTGTGTGGGATCCGTCAACCCTTGGTCCCAGTGGAGTAAGCTCCGCCAACTATATGTGGAATTTTTACCAAAATCGTTGCACAACACTTGAAAAAATACAAATGAAAATTTAAAATTTTTCCATGACGCCGCAAAACAGCTCCGTCGGTTCCTCGGGTTATACATCTTGGCAGTAGGAATGTTCGATACGATCCTACATTTAGCAGTAACGATACATTTCACGAGTATCGTCATCTTTCGATCCGGACTGGGTCAGAAAGGGTGACTAACTTCAGATTACTTTTCTTCTTTGTTTCGCTGGATATCGATAATTTTATTCCAATATTTTAAACTATCGATACTTCCTAAAACGATAGGAATCGATACATAACGATACTTTTCGTGGATCTAAACATCCCTAATATTGACAGCTTGTCGTTCTTGTCAACTGAGCTTGTAACGGTTTCACCGTCCGATTGTATTTATTAAATCACTTCTCGATTTTCATTTCAGAATCGCAACTCATTAATCCCATATCTAGCTTTTTTACTTGGAAAAATTTCCGCTTGGAGCGCGCTTGATACTGGCAATAACATCCACGTGTTGAGTTCTTGATCTGTGATCTTCCTCGCGGCTTCTTTTTCACTTCAGCCGCCGATCTAACAACAACTGACAATTTTGCTCCACATAAAAAGATACCAGTTTTCAGATGGGGAATCAAAAAATTTTCTGGAAATAGCTCAGTTATTGAATTTCTAGAAATTGTCGAATCTCTAATGTCTTCCCGTGGTTGCAATGAGATGGATCTCTTTGCATCTGCAGGTGATCTCTTTGAAGATGTCGCCTGGACATGGTGGCATAATGGCTATCTAAGAAATAGCTTTCATGATTGGCAGGACTTGATTAAACAACTCAAGGATGCTTTTCTACATGACAATTATGATATGAACCTAATTGATGAGATTCGTAGACGCAAACAAGGTCAGGATGAACATGTCACGATCTTCATTTCGTTCATGGAATCTCAATTCAATAGATTAACCAAACATTTACAGAAAAGGACATCGTCAATATTGTCCGTAGAAATTTATTGCCTGACTTCATAAAGTCACTTGCTTTTCATGGAATTTCCACTTTTCCTGAACTAACATCACTTTGTAGGAAATTAGAGGATTCCTTCTTGACTTGTCAA